AGCTGCCGCCTGGTCAGCACTCTTTTTGCTGGACTCGGCTTCAGCTGCATCCTTCTTCGATGCATTACCCCCAAGCGGCACAAGCGCCACTACCGGCTGCTCCTCCTCCTCCAACGCCTCTTCCTCAGCAGCCGCCAGGATCTCTTGATTATATCTATCAGAACACTGGCGGTACGTTTTTTCCCAAGAGGCAAAGTCGGCATTGGGGAAGAGGCGGCCCCAAGTCATGCGCTGGATTTGAGCAGAGTCTTCCATCATCTCCCGGACCAGCTCTTTCTTTTCTTGCTCGGCCTTTTCCGAGAGCTCCTGAGTAAGACTCTTCTCCTGGGTCACCAGGCGTTCCTTTACGCTCGCCAAGGATTTCTCCAAGGTTTCGTATGAGGACATCTTTTGGCGAAGAGGTCTCAGCTCGGCCTTGAGGTTGTTGATGGTCGCCTCCAGCTCGCTATTCCTCTTCTGGGCCGCCTCTAACTGAGCTCCGATAGCGGCGGTAGCCTGCGCCTGATAATAAAGAATATCAATTGTCAGAACTTCATTTTGGGCAATTTGAAACATTGCCTTATCACAGTCAGAGGCGGCCATAGCTTTTGCAGCCTTTACCTCTTTGTTCTTCCGGTCAAGCGGCTTGCGAAGGCCGTTCACTCGGAGCAGGGCCTAAGTAAAAAGGGAACAGGCGTCAGTTTCCAAACAAAAAAGAAAACAGGCGTCCTGGAATTCAAATACTCAAAAAATATGCTAAGTTTACCTCAGCAAGGACCCCTGCAATCCCGTCTAGGTCAAGGGTGCCGACACCCCTGACCGCCTCCCTTTCAGCTGGAGGAACGGCCTTGATCATCGACTTGGCCACCTCGACCAAGTCAGGCTCCTGAGGGCCGGCTGCATCAAGCATAAACAAACGGATTAGACCTAGTAAAGAAGGGAGCAAGTCTAAAATTTACAAGGACGATTTCATACTTCTAGGTGGTCCAGTTGGAGTTTTAGATGGAGTGGCCGGCTGTTTCTCAGCCGCCGCATATTTCCTGGCAGAACCAGGAGAGCTCGCAACAGTCGTCCTCCGGGCCTTGGGGTCCGGCTGTTGGGAAGAAGAAGCTCTTGGAGCGCACGTCTAAAAAAGAAGAAAAGAGTCAGTATATGCATAAACACAACTCCAAAAAGAGTGAAAGGTTCGAAGCCCACCAAGGGTGCCCCCTTGTTGGGGGAGTCGGTTGAAGACTGTTGCATAATGGAGGCCCGCAACATGGCCGCCGCAGTCTTGGAGGCGGTAATTTTGCTCATGGCGTCCGCTGCAAAAACAAATAGCAAAGTTAATAAAAGTCATAACAAGAAATGCACGGAACAACAGAGTATTCGACAGGCCGGCTACCTCTTGAGCACCGACTGCTGAGGCCACAGGCGGCCAAAAAGTACTCGTCGTAGAGCCATTTGAAGCTCGGGACGCAGTGTAGGGGTACTTGCTCTCGTACCCCTGAAGTAGACTTCACCTTCGACTCTACTTTGAAGAGTCCTTTATCTAGGATCTCTTTCTTAGCCTTGGGGGGAACAGGCGGCATGCTGCGGCCGCCTGCAATAAGGGGCGGATTCCTGTTCCACCTGTTGAAGCGCTTGTTCAGCTCTTTGTCTGAACTCTCAATGATAAGGAAGGTGCTCCGCCAGTCCTTCCATTTGTTTGCTTTACCTCTTGTCATGAGGTAGCCCCTGTGGCTCGTCAATTGATACCAGCCGGTACCGCCCGCCTTAGGGGTCCGGCTGAGGTAGTTCATGTGGGCGAAAGCCTCGAAGTTCGGCTCCACCCCGTGCAGTTCGCACCCGGCCACATAGCCGAGTACGTTGACCCAGGAGTTCCGGGCTAACTGCCATAACCCCAACTCATACCCATCCAAGATCCGCTGAACAGCCGGATGTAGTGGGAAGCGCAGCCCAGCCTTGATGGCCGCCTCGTAGCAGCCAAAGCAGGCGCCATCATAACTAGTACCAGCCGGCCAGACGACTGTGTCTTCTGGATCCGGCACGAACACTAAAAAGCCGGGGCCCATTGTGTGGTTTGCGATAAAGCTCCCCACTTTCTCTTGCATAGCCGTGATCCGGCCCCGAGGTACCGTGCAGTAGTAGGGGGTATTTTGCTCTCGGTGAGAGGCGGATGGCTCCGCCCAATCGTCCCCCTTCTCAACTGCGTGAGAAAGCCTCGCCTCTTGTAGACGACTGTTTTTCTCTTCTGTGTCCAGAGAAGCATGGCCAGAAGAGCTAGACTCGGATTCGTCCTCTGACGAGTCTGAAGAGGACGACTCCTCCCCTCTCCCGGAGGGGCCCGCCTCCTCTCCTTTAAAAGGAGCAGGAGAGAATGTAGAATTGTCAACTGTAAAATGGGAAGGGGTCACTTTGACTCCTCCCTCAGAACTGCCGGCTTTCAAGCCGCTTTGTTTCACTTCCACATCTGGCGCCTGGTCAGATGTTTCACTAATCGGCACCCTGTGGGAGGAGCCGTCTGAGTTTGAGATCCTGGCAGTCTTTTTTGTTCTGGCCATCATGTTCTGCATAGACACAGATACAGTCGGACTTTGTATAAAGGGCAAAGATGGGTCCAGAAAAGGGCAGGCGGCACTCCTAGTTCTAGATTCAGCCGTCCCCGGTGACCGGCTGATCACTAACCTAGGTCGTGTCGTGTGCTTCCGTGGTGCCATTTCAAAAAAGAATAAAGTAAAGAGAAAATTAAGAGTAAGAGAACCGACGGTTACCTGAACGAGTGACGATTGATGACGTTCTGAAAATCCTTTGCAGTCGGCTTGTTAGAGCAGGCGGTAGGCGGAAAAGGTCCAAAATGTCAGAGCAAGTTCAGGGGTCCGAATGTTCTCTCACAAAGTTCTCAAGTGTGAAAATGACCGAAGTCAACACTCCTTTATATAGGCGAAGTGAGAAGGCGAAGGGTCACTTCCAGAATTCAAAATTTTGGCGGGAGAATCTCTCGGCCTTTCGCCGAGTGACACCTGTAGCAGGCCGTCGCCTGTTACAGGGCGACACCTGTCACAGGTAACACGTGACCAGTCACGTGCCACCTGTGAGGGGCAAATGATTAGGAGAATTTGCTCCCACCAATCGGAATGCGCCACGTGGGCCAATCAGGTCCTGCCAAGTGTCCCCCAGTTGGACCTCTCAGGGCTTGCCACGTGGCACACGCTTATTCGTCCACCCTGGACCTATTATGTCATGACACGTGGCATACTCCATGCCTAATGGAGAAGTCGGCCACCTAGGCCCAACTTCCGAGGGAAGCCTAATCAGCCCAAGGTTAACCTAAACCTAGATTGGCACGTTTCCCGAGGTTATAAATACCTCCCTTAATCCTCATTAAGGGGGATTACGCAGATTACACACATAAAACACTCTCACCTAGAGAGACCCAATCACTTTAATTTCCGCATTAATTACTCCTTAATCAAGTACTAACTTGACCGTCGGAGGCGGATCTCTAATCATCCGGAGCATCCGTTTGTTTTGCAGGTACAGGCGTCCGGTTCCAGTCTCGGAATTGTAACTCTCCCGCAGGACATCAGAAAACCCCGAAACAGGTACCATGATACCTTAGCTAACTCAACTACTTCACAACAAAGAAGAACCCCCACTCGGCCTGCTCGAACGTTCGTTCCCCCTTTCCCGAGCCGGAGAGGCTTGGAATTGTAAAGTACATTACTCCCTTCAGCCAAGAAATCATGAATCCCCTGATTCTTCCAAAGGTCAAGATACCTACTTTGGAGCCCTATGATGGTAAAATCAACCCGAGAGACCATTTAAACGCTTATAAAGCACAAATGGGCGTGCAGACTGGGTGTGAGGCATCATGGTGTAGGTTCTTACCTACCACCCTCAAGGGAATTGCTCAGGTTCAATAATCTTCTTCAGGGAGAAGTTATCTAGCCTATTTAAAAAGCATTTCATCGCTGGAAATAGGCAAACAAAGACTAGCGTTCACTTGATGTCAGCTATATTATTTCAAGAGGTTCAACACCGAATCTCAGCTTATCCCCGACCTCTAGGTGGATAATGTTGCCTTAACCACTCTTCTGTTCGGGCTCAAGTCTAACATGCTGAAGTTTGAACTTGTCCATGACAAGGTTACCACCTTCACTGAAGCTATGGAGAGAGCCGAAAGTATCATTGAGGCTAGTGATGTTTGCAAAATTCCCTCGGATAAGGGGAAAGCAAAGAGGAAACCCGGGGACAGTTATCAAGAAAACAAGAACAGAAAGCCTATGAGGGTCGAGAAAGAAGGATTTAGATACAATGCTAATAGGCGTGAGATCTACATGGACATAAAAAATAAGGCTATCCTCCCAAAGCCGAATCCAATGAACACGCCGATAGAACAAAGAAACAAGAAACTCTGGTGCGAGTACCATCGAGAGTGTGGTCACACCACCCGAAACTGTCGTAAACTCAAAAGAGCTCTTAATAAGCTAGCAGATGAAGGCAAGCTCAATCGATACCTCAAGGATTCTCCTAGAAAAAAGCAAAGAAGCAAAGTTGTGCAAGAAGCTTAGAGCTCAGCTAATACCAATAGAGCACGCAAGAGTCATTTATGGTCGCTAGAGGAGCCAATCTTTGATATTGGCACACCCTTATTTTACGCTATCTTATTCTGCCAAAGACCAGAATTCTAATAAAGTGGAGAGCACTAGCCATAGTGCTGAATTTATGGAGATGAAGTTGAAGATATTTTCCAGAAAGAAAAAGGGAAATGAAAGGGAAAAGCAGGAACAACATAATCCATGTTACCAAATGCTCATTCAGGCATAACTATTGTAAGGTTTTAGCCTTCCCACTTCAAGAAACCCGTAGTTTGGATGCAATTGCAACAAGGTGTTTAATGCACATCTCATAGCTGACAGGCATAAGCCAACACGATAAAAGAGAAAATAAATGACAAATTTAACAGGACAGAGGTGATGACCATTGAAACATATAGCACTGTCATAACCTCACTGTATTCAGAAAAATAAAGTACGTACCAGCAAGGCTGTTTGGATTATCTCCTGACCACTGAATAACCAAACATTCCTCGTTGAACTTGAATCTGAAAGGAGTATGAAGCATTGATAACATAATACTTCAGTATCAAAATGGTAGGATGATTAGCTACCTAAACTTAATCTACGATTTTCTATTACATCTAAAATGGTACGGAGTAAAAAAAAAAAAATATATATATATAATAAAAATAAATAAATAAGACCAGCAACAGCTACAAGTCAATTTAAGGCAAACTAACCTGTTGACAAAATATGAGGCAATGTAACCAGAAACAGCAAAAGCTGGAGCAAGCTTTCCAAGCTTCTCTTTCAAAGACGGTGTGGTTGCCTGTATTGAGCACTTCTTAGATTAGGTAGTCTATACTGAAGATAGGAAATCTAATTCCTGACAAACAAGACAGCAATACGTTTCAGCAAACATCAACAATCATATGAGGAAAATAGCCTACTTCCAAAGCCAAATTTGACCACTCTCGTTTCTTTATATCCATTAAGTTCATCCCTGCTCCATCTGTTTCATCAATGCAAGCATATGCACCAATAAGAAGAGATCCCATAAAAGAACTAACAAGGGATATCCTCTCAGTATTATTGTATATTTCAGGCCTTGTCTCATAAATCTTCCGGACTTGTGGGCCGACATATCTTTCATGGGCCCGAGACCCAGTGAGACGATGTAACTCAAATGCACCCCCAACAGCTTCTTCAATCTTCCTACATTGTTCTGTTGTGCTACAGTCCATCCATATTGGTGACTCTTTCAAAGAAAATGACTCACTTAATTGATCTTTTAACCTCTTTTCGGGATCAAGAGATGATAATACCATAGAACTCCCATTTTTCCAATATACACTACCATGTTGTTGTGCACTCCCAGAAATTGAAACAATCTTTGTATAGTCTACTTTCTTGTTTAGTTTTTCAAGCATCAAGTCAAGGGCTTCAACCCACATTATAGTAGGGGAAACAATCCGGCCATTAATTGCCGAATCGCGATATACCCCATCTTTGGTTTTGTAATGGGGTAAGTCTGAATCAAAATGCACAAATTCTGTGGCAACAATTACAATGTTGGAATCCAAAACAGTAGCCTTTAAGGACCTAAACCCACCAAAAAAATTATAAACAAAATTCAATTTCAAATTTTCAACCCAAGTATATATAAGTTTTCATAAGGACAAAGATCAAAGAGAAAACTTAATAACGCAGAATTTAGTATATAATGAACGATTAATGATAGAGAAATTACATATTTTACAGCTGATAATTAAATTTGTAGGAGTAATATAGGAATTAAAAAATCCAAAATCATAATAAGACACGAGTAGAATCGATGATAAATACATGTAAAAGGATAGAATGAAAGACTTACTGAGTAGAACAATCCAAGCCCAGATGAAGGGAGCCCTGAGGTAAAGGGTATGTTTCCATGAGAAAAAAAACAGTGCACTAGTAAAAGTGACTACAAAAGTTGGAAAGACAATGGAAATGTTTGGTACGAACTAACTAGTACTTGATTTTTCAAAAACTTTTGTTTTTTTCTTTTTCTTTTTTTTTTTCTTTTTTTTTTTTTTTTAAACAATCAAAAACTTTTGTTGCATACTCAGACAATCGGTTTACAAATTACAAAGCGGTAAATCGGAATTTGTAAAGTTAATACGATTTTAATATACAAACTTTTAAATAAATTTGGTTCATATTCATTTATTGTGCATCAGTGCACTATTAATATTAGAGATATTATGACCGTTTTATTAATTAAAAAAAAAGTCACTATGTTAAAATAAAAGTCATTGTGTCATTATAAAGGTCATAAGCGTTAAATTTTTTTTAATAAAAGTTTTAATGTACTTGTACTTTTTTTTTTTAAGGTAAGAAAAAAGGAAAGAATTAGTACCCCCTCCTCACGAGGGGTGATCCTAAAGCATCTGAGGTGAGAATGGGGTACAAAGCTGAAGAGCTACAAAAAGAAATATCCAATTTGTCGGTGACAAGATGGCCGACATTTGCAATCCAATTTGCTGCTTTGTTTGCTTCTCTGTAGACATGTCGAATTTCCCAATGGGGGAATCTGCGAAGTAGGATCTTGATATCTGCTATAATGTGATCAATCTGCCATGGGGTCGACCAAATACCGTTCACTACGTTGACAGCTAGGAGGTTGTCCCCTTCAATTTGACGATTTTGTATTCCTTGTTGGAGGGCGAGGATAATTCCCTTGGGGAGACCAAAAGCTTCAGCTACAAAAACGTAGGTGGTTCCAAGGTTGAAAGCTTGTGCTGCAATGGGTGTACTGTCACTGTCTCTAATGATGACTCCTACTGCTGCTGAATTGTTTTTGACCGAACCGTCAAAGTTGAGTTTGATGGAGTTGAGAGAAGGAGCCTCCCATGCAACTAATTGTGGGTTATGGTGGTTTGGGTGAGGAAGATGATGGGTTTGGGATCTCTGGAGACCCCGAGCTCAAAGAGGTATCTATGAGAATGCGATAATTCCACTCTTTGAACGCAATTTGCGCTCGGTGGAAGGTTTTAGGGATGTCAAAAGTCTCATTCTTGAAAATAATAGAGTTACATTCTTTCCAGATACTCCATAATAAGAAGAAGATAACCTTTCGGAGGGAGGAGTTGTTTTTCCAAAGCGTAAATAATGTCGTTATTAAGTATGTGGGTGGAAGTGCACCTGACAACCAGCTTTGGGTTAAAGTGTGGTTCCTAATTTCTTTAGCCCTATCACAAGTAAGAAATAAGTGATCGTGAGATTCTGGATAGGCGGAACAAAAGGTGAAAAGATTGAAAGGAATAATCTTTCTTTTATAAAAAGGGTGTCTCTAACTCCAAGGCTATTATGCATTATTTTCCATAAGAAGATTTGGAGTTTAGGCGGGATGTCTAGTTTCCATATCCAACGATGTGGCCATTTTACAGCATTTAATTTGGCTATAAATCATGTGCTATCCATGTAGCCGAGTTTATCGAAAAATTCCACGAAGGCGTAGGGCCCCATACTGGTGCGTCAGTCATTTGAGAGTTAGGTAAGGGGATGCTTATGATTAGTTGTACAATATAGTTTGGTACTAAAGAACAAAGCTTATGTTTATTCCAATGTCGATCTGGGAGAATAAAGTCTGCAACCCTTGAGTTAATGTTGACTTGGTGGCCTTGTAACTCCAAGGTTTCTAGGAGACTCTTATTTGTGACCCAGTTGTCTAGCCAAAAGCAAATGCCATTGCCATTACCGATTTTCATGCGAGTGCCTTTGCGCAAAATTTCCCTCTGCGCGAGAATGATTTTCCATATACGTGAGTCTTTAAGCTGGTTGATAGTAAAAAAATAAGGAGCTATGGAGATATTTCTCTTTTATGAGTTTAACCCGATTAGTAGGGTCTGATATGATCTTCCATCATAACTTAGCTAGGAACGCTTTATTTAAGGGAAGGGTCTGCCTTAAAGCTAGGCCGTCGTGGTTCTTGGGTTACAAACTTTATTCCATGCTATTAGAGGGGTACCATTTTTTTCTTTTTGTTGCCTCCAAAAGAAAATTCTATGGAGGGTGATTAGGGGATTTTTCCCACCAATCACCATCTGACAAGTGGACCAATCAGGTTCCGCCATGTGTCCGTCACATGGGCCAATAGGAGCCTGCCACGTGTCAAGCAATGATCCGTCCACTATGGACCAATTACGACACGACACGTGTCCTTCCCATGACACCTGGGATAACTGGTCACCAAGGCCCAACTTCCGAGGGAAGCCCAATCAGCCCAAGGTTAACCTAAACCTAGATTGGCACGTTTCCCGAGGTTATAAATACCTCCCTTAATCCTCATTAAGGGAAGAAACGCAGATTACACACATTAAACTCTCTCACCTAGAGAGACCCAATCACTTTAATTTCCTCATTAATTACTCCTTAATCAAGTACTAACTTGACTGTCGGAGGCGGATCTCCAATCATCCGGAGCATCCGTTTGTTTTTCAGGTACAGGCGTCCGGTTCCAGTCTCGGAATTGTAACTCTCCCGCAGGACATCAGAAAACCCCGAAACATTTTGGCGCCGTCTGTGAGGAGAGTACTTCTGAGATGGCATCCACGTTTGTACCGACTCCTGAAGAGAGACGTCCCCTGGACGACCCTCTAGTTCAGTCGGACCACGATACTGAGAATGAAATTGAAGTTGAAGCTCACACAGCTTCAGACGGGACCCTAAGGGCCCGACGTACCCGTCATACCGAAAGGAGGGAACGGGAACATCTTCATACAGGAAGCGAGCCAGCAGGCGCACCGCCTGTTCGGCAACAGCCGACTGATGGGTCTGCTCCCATCACAAGGAACGAACTCATGACCTTCATGAGGGACTTCAAGGGAGAAATTCAAGAGTTGATCAACAAGAAGCCGCCTGCTCTGGACAAGGAGCAGTCGGCTAAGAAACCCTCCACTTCACAGAAGAGGAAGCCAGTTCAAGGGCGAGAGGCGACCCCTCATCCTAAATCTAGGAAGCGGGAGCCACCTGCCCTTGATTTCACAAAATACCGTTTTCCTACTCCAGGAAATAGGAAACCTGTTCGTCATATTCAAGCGGACGGGTCGAGGAAAACATACACAGACGCTCGGCTACTGCTAGAGCAGAAGAAGAGTGATCGATTGTCAGAGTCGGCCTCTACTTCAAACCTCCAAGACAGTCTGCGAAATACCTCGATGAGGCATACTCAGTCGTATCATGAGAGTCAGTCAGGCGGCACCTCCCGTCAGTCTGGCTATCATAGCGACCAGGCGGTACCAAACTTACCGTTTGTACCGCAACAACAATATTTTTTACAGCCACCTCCGTTTGGTGGACATGCAGCAAAAAACGTCCAACCTATGGACTGGCAGCTACGGTTGCTTAGACTTGGCGAACAGCCGTCGGCCTTCTCCAAGGAAATTACTGAAGCCGCTCAGCCGGCCAAAGTGAAAAATGTATTAGTAGGTGCCTATGACGGCACTACTAACCCAGAAGACCATCTGATGGCATTCACCAACCTGTTGTACCTTCAAGGGTTGGATGATCCCACTTGGTGCAAGTGTTTCCCAGCGACTCTCAAAGGAATCGCACAACAATGGTTCGGCAACCTGCCGACTGGTTGTGTAAATAGCTTCAAGACGCTTGCTTACTTATTCACCTCCAACTTCGCCATGAACATCCCTGCGAAGAAGACGACCCTTGATTTAGGAACAATTCAGCAGGGCGAGAAGGAGGGGCTTCGTTCTTACATCAGGCGGTTTAACCTGATGAGAATACAGATTCAAGGGTTACCGGATGAAGTAGCCTATACTGACTTTTTCAGAGGTCTCAAAGACGGGTCGACCTTCAAATTTGATTTGGTCCGAAAGAGGGTGGCGACTCTTCAAGAGGCCTTGATTGAAGCGGAAGCTTATATACATGCGACTGATCTTTGTAGTACGATAAAACAGTCAGACGGGAGAAGGTCCGACAAAAGAGAAGGACGACAGAAACAATCGTCAAACAAAGACGAGAAGAGAAAAGAGGTCTGGGCGGCTGATTCCTCTAAACAGCCGGCCCAGAAAAAGAAAAAAGAATTCAAACCATACTCCCCAAAGTATGCGTTTAACAAGGATAGCCAATTTATCCTAAAGGAAATCAAGGGACGGATCTCAATTGAGAAGCTGGTCCCCATGAAGGGTTCTGCAAACAACCGGAACCAAGAAAAATTCTGTGATTATCATGAAGATGTTGGTCATCACACCAATGAATGCATCAGTCTCATGCGGTATCTGGACCGCCTGGCTGAGCAAGGTGATCTTGACACTTATGTCAAGAAATCTACGGGGAACACTTCCTCGAAAAAGCAGTCGGCCAAAAAGAATCAACAGGCCGACAGCTCCGATACAGATGATGCAGTCGTCTACACCATTGCAGGCGGCTTCTCAGGAGGCGGCCCCACTATTAGGGGCAACAAAGACAATATCAGACGGTTAGATGTAAATTCCGTTCACCAAGAACGGCCCTCCAAATATTCATTTCATGAGATTGTCATCACTGAAGAAGATCTAGGAGGTGTAAGAGGGCCGCATGACGACCCTATCGTTATTGAATGTAAAGTGGCCAACCAGAGAGTAGGCCGAATCCTCATAGATACCGGAAGCTCCTCAGATCTCATCAGTAGCAAATGTCTGTCGAAACTAAAATATCAGACTGATTGCATACATCCGGCATCCCACCCTTTAGTAGGGTTTGGAGGAGGAGTTGTCCACCCAGTGGGACGAGTGGATTTACCCATCCGCCTGGGTGAAAAAGGGGAAGGACGACACATGGTAGTCCGGTTCCTGGTAGTAGAAGAACTCTCGGCCTACAACATGATTCTGGGACGACCAACCCTGAATAATTCCAAGGCTGTTATAATCCCATCTCTTATGTTGCTCAAGTTTGAGAGGGATAATGGAACAGTCGGGTCCCTAAGGGGAGATCAGAGGATGGCCCGAGAGTGCTATCTCTCGGATGTCAAGCCCACTGTTATGGCCAGTATGTCGAGCGGTGGAAAAATAGACCTTGACAATGTCAAGGAAAGTGCGCCTGTTCAAGAAGCAGGCGGCAAGAAGAGAAAGGCGTCCCAGACAGGGGCCGCAAGAAAAGACAGAAAATAGCAATCATTGGCAGAGGAGCGGTCGGATGAATTCCGCCCTCAGCCAGCTGGTGAGCATACGGACCTGATGTTAGATGACTCGCGT